GGGGACGCACTGGCTTGAGTCGCCTCTCGTAGGTGGTTCGCACCTAAAAGCGGGAGCCTGTGCTCCTTGCTGTGGAGGAGTGGGGGTTGCTCTGCTAATCGTGTGCAGGAGGTGAGGGCACCTGAGCAACTTGCTCCTCCAGGCAGAGCTGACCTCTGCTCCCAGTTTGCACCGTTCCTGGGGATGTGAGTCTGATGTGGTAAAATGACATGTTGAACTTGGCCTGCTGCCTCTTGCAGTAGCAGGGAGGAAGCCAGAAGGAGTTAGGCACGATTTTTAAGACGAGATTGCAGATTCAGGAGTTAGAAATGCCTTCTCTCTCTTTAGTTGAAATCAGTGGAGTGTGACTGTGTCCACAGGCTTGCTGGAAAAGGGGGTTTGTGCGCTGAAGTGCTGATGGGTGTGGTGGTACAGAACTTTGCAAACTGTTGCCGCTGTGGATGTTGTGCGTGGCCACGTGTGTATGTATCAGTTGTAAAATCCTGTAGGTTGGTTTTTTCCTCTCTTTTTCTCTTTTCTTGTTTCCTTTCACAACAGTCTGTAGCAAAGGGTTTGATGGACTAGTCAAGATGACTGTATGTATGATGTTTTACCTAGTGTAAGCTAGCTGTGTCTAGATTCAGAAGTACTTGATGCTATTTTACAACAATAGGCTAGAATAATGGAGTGGCTCTTCAGCATGCTATGAATTAATTTTTGCGTCTTCCTGATGCTCACAAGTCACTTATTAGTCACTTTTGGGTTTACTGTTCCAACTGAGCTTCTGGGTTTCAGCCTCCCCTCTTCTGCAAGCTTATTGATATTCTCTGGACTGTATGTATTTCCCTTTACCTAGAGGAAAGAGAATCCAGTCAGAGCCATGTGTGTTGATTGGCAGCAACGGAGGGGAGCTGAGACCTTGTATATTGTTTGTGAATAGAAGTGAAATAAGGCAGCTGCAGGTTGGGCAGAAGTGGTTGGGTTGATGTATAGTCAGTGAACAGTTAATTTTCTTTTCAGGGCATCTGACTGGAAACTGGACCATCCGGACTGGACAGGGCGGCTTCGTGTCACCTCCAAAGGCAAAACTGCATACATAAAACTGGAGGATAAGGTTTCAGGTAAGGGAAAGGCTGTGGCTTGGCAAGACTGCAACTGTGATCATACTACTTATGATCCTGTGCTTCTAAGCCTGCTCAGAGGTGTGCATGGCAGCCATGGCCACACTTTAGCAAGAGGTTGCTCTCCCTAACAATCGATTCTTTGTTTGCAGGAGAGCTCTTTGCTCAAGCTCCTATAGACCAATACCCTGGCATTGCAGTAGAGACTGTGACAGATTCCAGCCGCTATTTTGTCATTCGAATTCAGGATGGGACTGGTGAGTTGAGGGATCGTGCATGTGCCAAATGCAAGGGGTGGAGGAGACAGCTTGATGGAGCTGAGTGTATTCCAGGTGGTTTGAAATGGTATTGAAAGTGCTGAAAAGGCAGGGTAGTATGCCTGGAGGGGTAGGAAGGCAAGGTTAACAGGAGGAAGGTTCTCTACATTGCACAGAGTCCAAGGGCTGGGAAGGACCATTCAGTTTCTGAGAGTGCTGCATGGGAAGAAGGGTTCATCCTGAAGGCTAGGGACAATGAACTGCTGTAGGCTGCTGGTGTCTAACTGCAGGTGCGTCAGAGGGAGGCAGCACAGAGTGCTTTAGGAGAAACAGAAGGATTTTGGAGTGAATGACCACAAGGGCCCATTTGCAGGGCACCTCTAGTGACTCCTCCTCTCTCCTTGCTAGGACGAAGTGCTTTTATAGGCATTGGCTTCACGGATCGTGGTGATGCCTTTGACTTCAACGTCTCTTTGCAGGATCACTTCAAGTGAGTTGTGCTTTTCTGAAATGCTGTTTTTCCTCTGGCCTTGTAGAAACATGGTGGGTGGTGGTGCATGTTCATTTAGCGCAGGCTTCCTTGGGGTGGTCATGAAGCCCTACTCTGACTCCATCAGGGGTATTTGAGTGTGCTGCCAAGTGTCAAGCAAGCTGAGAGTCCTGCAGGGTCAGATCTGTAAGTCTTAAGCTTAGGTCCTGTGATGCTACAGGTGCAGTGTTAGACAGTCTTGGGTTTGTGGTGATCCCAGCTTTTTGCTGTACTACACTGGGAGTAGGGAGGTAGCTGGTTTGACAAAGCAAAGTAGTTCTTTGGTGGGATGGGAGAAGGAACTACTCATTATTCTGAAACTCTGTTCCCCTTTGTCACAGGGTCTTATGTCTTCCTCTTTTCTTTTTAGGTGGGTGAAACAGGAGACTGAGATCTCCAAGGAATCCCAGGAAGCTGACTCACGTCCCAAATTAGACTTAGGGTTTAAGGAAGGGCAGACCATCAAACTGAACATTGGGGTAAGTTTTGTCAGTTTACCTTGCTTCCTTCTCTGGAAATGCAAATGGAGACCCTTCCTCACCTGTCCTTTCTTTTTATACAGAACATGACGACAAAGAAAGGAGGAGCAGCCAAGCCCCGTGTGGCTGGATCAGGGGGCTTAAGCCTGCTGCCACCCCCACCAGGAGGCAAAATTGCTGTCCCTCCTATACCTCCCCCTTCTTCCACAGCCATTGCCAACCATGTCACACCACCTCCTGTGCTGAAATCCATGAAATCCAGTAATGTGAGCAGTGCAGGTAAACATTAGCATAGAGCAAACAGTCTGTCAGACACTAGTACGTGCATAGAGAGGACCGAGGCCTGCTTCAGGGAACCACTGTCCAGTCTAGTGCCAACAATGCCATGTGAGACATGATGCGCCCTGAGGGCTTTGCTCTCTTTGACCTGAGGATCTCCATGCATGTTTAATAATACCTGGTTGTTCTCCTTGCGAGGAGGACAGCATTGCACCTGCTGTCCTTGTAAAAGGAGAAATCAAGTGACTTGGTTAAAACAGTCTGGGAGGTGGAGTGGGGCTCGGTATGTAATTTAAATAGTTGGATTTTTCTGAATTTGTCTGTGCTTTAGGGGCACTGGCAGAGCTGTGTAGGGTGTACAGAAAGGCACTGCACAGTCACTTGCTTTCTGCAGAAAAATATATGTAGACTTGTGGTAGTTGTTGAAAGATGCCGGAAAAGCCCTTCTTGAGTGGATTTGAATAGGGAGAAAGGAAGATTTACTATGAGCAGCAGAAGGAGGTGCAAAGTGAAGTGGGTTGTGGGTATAGTGTTTTTTTAAAAAAACAAGTGTATAATTTTGTATAATATATATTATTTATAGATGAAAATAATAAAATGTAAAAAAGTATATGCTGAACTTCATACATACATACATACATATGTATGTATGAAGTTCAGCAATGCCAAGTTCAAGGTACTGCACCTGTGGTGGGGCAATCACCAGTATTAATACACACTGGAAGATGAATGGATTGAGAGCAGCCCTGCAGACAAGGACTTGGGGATCATTGGTGAATGAAAAACTGGATATGAGCCAGCAATGTGTGCTTGCAGCCCAGAAAGCCAGTTGTATCCTGGGCTGCACTAAAAAGTGTGGTCAGCAGGTTGAGGGAAGTAATGCTCTTCCTCTACTCCACTCTTGAGACTCCACCTGGAGTACTACATCCAGCTTTGGTCTGTCCAGTATGAGAAAGACATAGACCTGTTAGAGCAGGTCCGGAGGAGTGCCATGAAAATGATCAGAAGGCTGGAACACCTCTCCTGTGAAGAAAGGCTGAGAGACTTGGGGTTGTTCAGCCTGGAGAAGAGAAGGCTCCAGGGACGTCTTATTGCAGGCTTTCGATATATAAAGGGAGCTTGTAAGAAAGATGGAGAAAGACTTTTTACCAGGGCCTGTAGTGACAGGACAAGGGGCAAAGATTTAAACTGAGAGAGGGTAGATTTAGACTGGATATGAGGAAGAAATTCTTTGTAGTGAGGGTGGTGAGTCACTGGAATAGGTTGCCCAGAGAAGTGTGGACGCCCCTTCATTGGAATTGTTCAAGGCCAGATTGGACAGGGCTTTGAGCAACCTGATCTAGTGATAGAAGTCCCTGCCCATGGCAGGGGGGTTGGACTAGATGATCTTGTAAAGGTCTCTTCCAACCAAAACCATTCTGTGATTCTGTAACAAAGGTTGCTGTAGTCTTATGGATGCTGTACTAAAAGTGTGACCATACAGAGGTGTTTAGAGAGCTGATGATACTCCTGTCAAGACAGAGACTTTAGCAGTGCTATACACCAATCAGAGTGAGAAGAAACCACCAGCTTCTGAACAGGGCTGGCTCTAGTGTGTAGTTTGTACTGTTAAGGCAAATGTTATAATTGCTGAGCTTGGGCTGAGTCTGAGCCTTATGTCGACTGGGAGAGGGAATATGTAACAAATCTGCCAGTTTGTATGCTAGGTGGAGACTGAATAGTTCTTGAAGACAATGTACCCCTGCAGCATGAGCTGGAGGCTCCATGCACATTCAGCAAAAGAAGCTGCTGTTATAACAAAACCCTTAAAAAGTCTAACTTCCTTCTGGAGGGAGAGCTGGAGTATCTTCAAAGGTTCTCTGCCCTGCATCTAGCAGTTAGTGTATGGTGACAGTTTAATGCCTGTGGGGTTTTCTTCTTGATTAACTTGATTTTTTTGTTTGTTTGTTTGTTTTTTTGTTGTTGTTGTTCCTTTCTTCTTCTGCCTTAGATATTCTATTAGACTTGGATGCTCCAGCATCTGCATCCAAGGCACCAACATCAGCTACCACAGACCTCTGGGGTGACTTCAGCACTGCATCCAGGTAAACTATGGTGAAGGGAACTGCACACAAGAAGGGTAGTGTCCTGATGGGCACTGGAAGAGCCCTAAGTTAGGAAGTTTTATTAGATCTGCGACTTTGATTCTCCTTTCTTTTTCAGTGCTGTTCCCAATCAGGCTCCTCAGCAGTCCAACTGGGTCCAGTTCTGAATGGTCAAAGCAGTGGAATGGGACAAACTGATGACCAAGAGGCTCTAGAGGCACCAAATGGGATCAGAGTGGGCACAAACCCCTCTAGTCTTCAATCAAAAACAAATTGGGACAATCCTTCCTTTTTAGACCACATCTACACTTCAGTCAAAACTTAGTGTTTTTGATCCCACAGTGAAACCACTGAGCCTAAAGAGAACATACTGACTCCTCACAAGATGGGCAAGGAGGAGAGCGGTAGCCTCATCTCTTCTACCCACTTGGCTGTTACATGGTACATCCTAGCTCTTTTTCCCTGTCTTTCCGTACAGGGAAAGCAAGAATCCTGAAGAGGGTGGGTACAGGAGGAGGCCGGGAAGGTGCCTCTGGGTTCTTTGTCCTTTAAATGTTCTCTGGTTAGACTGTTGCTTTTTGTGGCTGCTTTTGGTAGTGACTCAACTTTCTGCAGGTTGGCCTGCAGTGCTGAGGACAGCTGCATTTGACTGCAGCTTCTAAATGGAAGCTGTAAGGAGATAGATCTTTTCTCAACACAAAACCCTCTTTGATTAATTACGTCTGGTGAGGAGTGAACCTCCCCGTGCACTCACTGCTCTTCTTCTTTGGTGCAATTCTTGATAGTGATGGATGTTTCTGTGGTCATGGGAGGAGTTATGCAAATCCTTGAGTAGACCTGCTGCCATTGTTCTATAGCTCCAGGTGAGCACCCCATCTTGTGGCTCCTTGTTTGGCCTGCAGGCTCACTGGTGGAACTTCTGTTACTTTCCCTCCTTTTTCTCTCCCACCCCATGCAAAGGCCTCATTGCCTTTGAGCTGTTGTAACTGGAAAAAACTTAAGGAAAAAAAAAAAGCCTGTTTCTATAATTTGGTAGTTACTTGCACTAGACGACAACTAGGTAATCCCACGACTCAGCTTTTCATGTTCCTGCTCACTATCCTGAGCCCTGGCCTTGTGTTGTGACTTGGCACTGTGTTACAAGTATAGCGTATCTATGCCACAGTAAGAACTATGGTGGGACAGTGGATTATTCTCTGATGAGAAGTGATGGTCTCCTTCCCCATTTCAGCTCACACTTACCATTTGGGCAAGAAATGTGTAGTAGGCCCAATCTTGAGAACTGTGGCAGTGAAATTCTCCAACCTGTGTTTCTTCTGGCTTTTCTTCTGAAGCTAACTTTCTAGGGGTGTGAGCTGGTTATTGTAACTTGGGTATTTTTTTCTTTTTTAATGTGTTCCAACCCCCCTCTATTTCCTGTCTGGTTTGTGGGGTTGGGAAGAGGTAAAAGGCCCTTACTCTCTGCTCTTCTCTTTGGGAGAGTTTCCGAAGGCCCTTTGATCTGGATACTATTCCATCTTCAGCAGCTATGGATGTGATCGGGGGTGTAAGTCTGCTGATTACTCTGGGCAAAGCCCATGGGCAGGCTGGAAACCTCACAATGGTAGCTGCCCTCCATGCCAGCTGATAAACCAAAAGAGTAGCTGGGAAGCTGGTCTCAGTGACTTCTACAGCTGTGCTCAGTTACTAGAACACTAGGGTTTTGGTACTTCACTGCAAGGCTTCTTGCTGTTTTGAACACTCAACCAGCAGCAACACTTTTGTAACTGAGATACACACTCTGCTAGCACAACTGTGCAAGTAAATTTTCCCCTTTGGACAAAGATTTCTAGGTGAGGCTTTTAAAAGATAAGTAGTTAGCTGTATGCACCTTGTACTTGCAAAGGTCTCTTGTCCTTTTTGATGTCTTAGTATGCTGAGGGGAGACAGTTTCACTTGGACCATCCCTCTGGGAAGCAAGTTCTTGGAAATGGCTCTAAAGCTGCTGCAGTTCCACTCGTGGAAGTGGGGACCAAACTGCTCTTGGGTGTATTTTAAGTAGTCATTTAATCCTGATCCCCTGGCGCTCTTGGTGTTCTCCCTGCCGCCCCTTCCCTGCCTTCATAGTCACTCCTGCAGTCTCATTGTACTTAAACTCCCTGCCTTCTCTGAATTTGTGGGTGGCTATAATCTGCTAGCGAAGTCATGGACTCTGCTGGTTGGCTTTTTGTTTTCATTTTTTTTGCTCAAATCACTGTGAGGTCCTGTCATTTCAACTATGTATCAGTTCCCCAAGCCAAGGAAGTTCATGGTACCAATTAACAACTAACTAGGAGCCTCTTCTGTATTGTCTTAGGTAGTATTCTGGAGATAATATATTATGTATTTGAAAAGCTGAAGAAGCAAAAATTAAAGATATATGTATATAAAGCATAAGATGTACTGGTGCAAATGGTAATTAAACAAGTAATATTGGGGAAAAGAATTATCATGTGTCTTCTAAGTTGTCAAAATGTCATTGCTTTGGAAGCCCTGTAGATTGAAGGTCTTTGTCTCCAGCAAGATCCTAGTAGCCTATTTGTCCTTCTGAAAGTGTGTTATGGCCTGCAGACTGGACAAGAGCAACGTTAGGAGTGAACAGGTACAGGCTCTGGCTGGGCAAAGAAGTCGGAGCATGGAAGAAGGACACAAAAATGACCTATGGCTGTTCCAAATGGGGTAAAAAACAAACAACCAAAACAACAACATGGAAACAGGCCCGAATGTAGGGTTGTATATGATGCTTGATAAGAATGTGGATAAAACTAGCAAGTGAGAACTCGGCTGCGCTGCCGTTTAGCGTTTCAGACATTAGAGGCTTCTACACCCTGCAGATGTTTTCAGAATTGATTCTTGCTATGCTTGTAAATGGGAGGCAGTCTCTCTGCTGACTGCAGAGATGAGCAAGGTCAGCTGAGTTGGCCCTTTGTCAGAAAGCAGCAAAGGCAGGCTCCTCTGAAAGCAAGAGCAGACTGGAAGCTGGGACACAGCCAGGCAGGCAGGGGCAGTGGCCTTGCCAAGAAAAGGAACAGTCCCACAGTACCTAAGCAGGAAATCAGAGCAGGTCAGGATGAGGATTTAGATCAGCAGGGTACATGGCCATGGCTGCGCTAGCTCAGGCAGGGATCAAGGGTGAGAACCTTAGCTGAGATAAGCTTGCAGGCAAACCTTGCTGAGGTTTCTCAAAGCCGGACACCTATATTATTTAAGCTGGACCTGAGTCCAGCCAGCCAGTCCCCCAGAAGATGGAGAATATGCTCAGGGCACTGACATTCTTCTATCAAGGCTGCTTACAGCCATCTCTTCTTGCATAGCCACTCTTGCTCAGTGTACCTCTGCCAGACAGCAAAGCTCTACATATGGTTGTATTGAAAGTACAGCGGAAGTCTTGTGGCCTGGGTAAAGATGAGAAGTCTTAATCTTTTAAGTCAGCTGTTTGCATGACACCAGTAAACGCTGGTGTCGTCAAATATTCTAGCAACTGTGGTGGCCAAAAAAAAAAAAATCTCTACATTTCTTCAGATCTAGGAGCAAAGCTGTTTCCCTCTTTTGGTGAATAAAGTGGATATGTTGTGTGGGTCCTTGCCAGGCAGAAGGTGAAGGGTGTTGTCCATGAGCTATGGTGAAGCTTCTCTGACTTTTCAGTAGGTACTTGCAGTAACAAGAGTTGAATAGCCTAAGAGGGTATTTCTCCAGAGTAGGCAGATTTTCAGGTGAGGTGTACTTAAGAAAGGTACTGGGATATACTCTGGTTTGTGCATAGAGGACTGGGAAGCGGTTCATGAGGGAGAGCTTAGTCTTTGGAGATTTTCCTGGTTCCCATGTCTCCTCACAGTGAGGCCTGCTAGAATGCACAGCTTGATGTGTCTTGTGTAAATCCTCTCCCCCAATCTGTCTGTCCCCAGTGGGAGAAGTTGGCTGTGGCGGCAAGTTACTGGTGAAATGACTTGGCCTGTGACTGGACTGGCTGAATCCTCCCATCTCTTCCTGCACTTTCTGTTGCCAGTGGTTTCTTCTAACACAGCAGAAGCCAGTATGCAGGCTGCTTGAGACTTACAGTCTCTGATGTTGTAGGCAATAGCATTCTCTAGGTTAAGGATTAAGGCCAGGCCTTTAATGTGGATCAGCAGATGAAACTGAGCAATATCTCCTGGACGTTTATTACGTTTCACATAATACATCAACTGGTTTCCTCAGGCACCTGGAAGATCTGCCCTCAGTCTGAGAGGGACAATGGTCAAAGGGGGGAAAAAAGTTCATGCTAAATGGGAGACATACTGTAGCACACAGAGTCAAGAAACAAGTGTCAAAGGGAAGATCCCAGTTTTGTCTGGTTATTGGTGTTTCTTTTGCGAGAGTTATAGTTGAGGTGGGATGTGTTTCCTGCCCTTCTCCCATTAATTCTGTTGTACATTCTGTGACTTAAAACTTGCGTCTTACAGCTGTGCAGTAACTATTCCTACTGCAGCCACACAATATGGGTTGCAGGCACAAACTCACTAGCTTTAACAAAGCCGTGGTGCTGTGTGTGGACTCTGAAGAAATGGAGAGGAAGAGGTGTCCACTGAAGTGAATCAAACAAAAACCAAACAAGAAACCAAAACCCGCAAAGTCTTCCTGAGCTTTGGTGATGAAGGAACAGGATCTGAACCTGAACTTGTCCTGTTAAATCAGCATAAACCTACAAAGCTCTAGGAATGAGAACAACTGGGCTGTTAATGCATAAAACCAGCATTACGGTCTATGTAGTTAACATATTGTAATGCCCCAAGGTCTAGGCAATCCATTGAGTGCTCATTACATTATTTGAACAATAGATTCTCAGTCTAGAGTCCATTTTAGGTGTCTTCCTTCCAAGCTAATAGCTTTGTCCATGTTAATAGTCAGGAAAAGCATATTGCAGGATGTAGTGCCCTTCTAGGTTGATAGCCTAATTTTACCAGCAGCCATTAGCTATAGCTGTGTGTTTTTATGTGGAGTTGGGGCTCTGACAGCCATTCCTTGAAGCTGCCTCTGAGCGTGGGAGATCAGTCAGCAGGAGCTGATGCATGTAACGGCTCCGGACCAGAGCCACGTTCTACAAGTTGTCACTGATGGGAGCCTGTGGTGAACTTCTTGCATCACTTGCGTTTGGGGCAGGCCGGCCAGT